AGCTAAAAATATTTTACTATATAATATCTAATTTAATCTACATAGTATTAAAATTTTATTCCCAATTTTTACATTTAATATTATGCGGATAACACCTGTTTCCACAAAACAAATTGAAGCGTTTATATTTACAAATATTATTTTGTCATTTGCCTTTGCAATTGCACTTCGTGCCAGTTACAGTAGAATTAGATTGCATATTTGCAGCTTCTCGTACAGTAATAATTTTGTCTTGACATGTTTCAAGTTCTTCATATTCGGTTAGCCCCAGTGGCATAATTTCATTCACACTATAAGTAGTATTAAGTATTCTATTTTTACATTATAAGCGATATGTTTGATTTGGCAATTCTTCAATAACTTTGCAAGGTAAAGTGGGCCGGTCGATGCTATTATGATCTATTTTTGGAATTGCAATACAAACATAATCATTAATAGAATATTCGAGTGAATGTTTATTTTTTTTTAGCATTTGGTCTTTCATTCGGGTTCGATATTCAACAAGTGATTTATTAGCATATTCACAGGATAGTTTATGTGATTGAATGTTTTGAATTTCATATAATGGCAAACGGCATTTATCCTATTAATAAAAAATAATTATATATTATTATTATTTTTAAAAATATAGTAATAGAGCACAAATATATACTGTAATACATTGTTATCGTCTTGAAATAATGTCAATAGCCCTGATTTATTTATAATTGATAACCTAGATTTATCTGATTCAGGTTTGTGTGAAGTTGAGAATTCTTGATTTAATATTGGAGCTGAAAATTCTTGATTAGATAACGAACCAGATCGATCTAAAATTGGATGAACTGATGATTCTGGTTGATTTAAAGCTGACGATTTAGGTTGATTTAAAGCTAAAGATTCTTGATTTAAAGCTGATGATTCTGATGTTAAAAAATCAAATTGATCCAATACAAACTGATTATTATCATCTGATTTTTCAAAAAAATCGGCAGGTAATTCTTCCTCATTTATAACATTCTGTTGATACAAATCTTCAAGTATTGAAAAATTTTTAATTGGATCCTGTCCAAATACAAGTGAATATGGTGATTTTCCAGTTGCATGGACTGTTTGTGTATTCATCGCATCTAAATATGCAATAATTTTTTTTTTTATCATTATATATCATTTAAATCAATTACTGTATATGTACTTACGTATAATTAATGGTAACCCTTCGGTCCAATTATTAGTTTTATTATCCTCCATCCATTTTCCAAGCTTGGTTTGCAAAATTCCATTCGCCCTTTTAACCATTCCTTGTGATTCTGGATGTCTTGAACGTCCATTAATAATATGCACTCCAGGCCAAAGAGATAACAATTCTGCAATTAAATCTGCAGTGAACTCTTTGCCGTTATCCAATTGCAAGATAGTTGGGGCCCCAAATACAATAAAAATATCATAAAGAAATACAGCCACTTCAGAAGCACTTTTACTTGTAAGGCTCCGGGCCCAGGAAAACCTGGTAAAGTGGTCACGAACGTGACAAATATATTTGTATTCCCCAACAGGTTGGAACGTCAATCCAACTAAATCAACTTGCATACGAGAAAGAAAACTTGATGCTATAATCAGTTTTGCAGCAAGTGAATTAGGAAAAAATCGATGTGTAGCACATGTTTTACAGGCACCACAAAATTCCTTAACAAATGATTGAGGAATGTAATCGTATTGTTGTCTAATCTAAAAAAAAAAAAAACATTGTTATAATTGTGTTTATTATAATGATTAAAAAAAAAATTTGTTCAATAAATTTACTTACAACATCTCACATCTTTGATGCTCTAACATGTTTTAAAACACTCACATGAATCTTACATAATATGTCATAAAGACGATTGAAGGAATATATAGTACGTATTAATTCTGTCCCATTTTCGTTTTTAGAAATAGTAATGATTTGAGTGTTTAGATTTGTTTTAGTTCCCAACTCCTGCAACTGAAAAGAATTCTTAATCCAGTATCGATCTTTTGCAGTTCCCAAACTCATATTAGCAGGTTCACGAAGTACTGTAATTATAAAATCATAGTCTATTTGTGAAATAAAGATTTTGCGATACTATGCAAGTGATTTTTTATCAAGATATTTATCAATTAGTTCATTAAAAACTTGTCTCAAAATAAAGGGGTATTCTTCTTGTATTGACATTTTGAATCGATAACTTTTGCAAAATATGATTATTAATATGCAATTTAATATGATTACTAATATACAATTAATTAAATAATCATAATTTAATAGTTTTATTTTATTTTTAAAGATTTGAAATCAACTTGAGTTGATTCGAGATTCAAAATCCACTTAAGTGGATTCTGAACCCACAGAATCCCGAATCCATCTACAACATATATAAGAGAATTTTGATATATAAAAATTTATAAAAATTTGGTTTGTGACTTAGGTTGATATTAACAAGATTGATCTTGACAGAGATAACTTGTATTAAATTATTAATCATAAAATTAAATTTATTTATTAGAATTTTTATAAATAAAATATAAATTTATAATATTTTTTAAAATATTTATTTTTTAATAATTAATTTTTAAATAATACTAATAAGTTATATTTTTATATATATTTAAAAAATTAAAATTGCAGAAGTGTAGTGACATAGAGTAGTGATTAAGTTGTCACCCCCAAGCAGCAGGTCTAGAGTTCGATTTCTACCAGAGATGTTTTTTGAAAAATAGGTCTGTATTTCAGTAACATTTATTCAACGATCAGTTAGGTATATCACCTGTAACTTTAGTACTACTATCTCAAAATAAAAGCTTTAGGGCAATTCAAATCCAAGGAACCAGAATATTTGAAACCTATTTGGCAAGATCCAAGCTAGAAGTAGTGAAGCTCTTTAACAATGCTACAGAAAATCAGAACCAGAAACCGAAGAATCAGACAAACAATCTTGAGATAAGAAGAGTTTATCAACCTGGCCGCCAGAGTCACATCAGAAGAAAAAATCTGATGCTACAGAATTCAGAACCAAGGGAAGTAAAACCAGAAGACACTTAGAGCCTAGGTATAACAACCCTTCTGGGCTAACTGGTTTGGTAGTTAGAAAAGGATCGGTATAAGAACTAGTTAAAAATGGATATCAGGATTAGAATGAATCTTGTAAAGCAAGGAGTAAGTAATGGTAGCAATCACAAAAACTGCAAGTATCAGTCCTCGGATTGGGTGTAAGTTACTGAAAACCCCAGGTAATACATATGTAGGATATGGACCGCTCTGGTAGGTTTACTATGAAGATAAAATAGTTCTAAGAGACCTTAGCGGCAGGAATTCTTTTGGAGAAAGTATCTGACAGCACTAAATCGATCAGAGAGTTTAAATAGAAGATCCACAAGTGGATTTTAGATATGGCAATTGGTGAGTAACTATAGATAGTATAGTGGAACCCTTAATTAGACAATGACTAAAATTGTATGTATGATCAATTGTACTCTCGTTGATGTAACAAAGTCAAAAAGTGCCTATTCAGCATTCTGATAATTGAACTGTGAAGTTAATAAACTGTACCAGACCCCAAGTGGTCATCTTAATATTTAAAAAAAAAAAATTAAAATTGTTTTAGACTTTTTTTTTAATTTTTATGTATTAATTAACTATTTAATTATAATATTAATAAAATATAAAATAATTTTATATTATAATATAATATGGAAAATTATAGGCACCTCTGACTAGAGATGCTTAGTTTATATATCTTTGGTTAAAACAATATCCAGGTAAATAATTTTAATCAAGTTAAGATTTGGGTTAGAGTTTAGGTTAAAGTTATAGCAAAAGAATGTATTATAAGTAAAATTGTCTTGATATTTTTATTTAATGCTCTAATATAGATTTAGATAGCCATTTTTTGTATTTTTTACTTTTTTATTTTTTATATTTTTTATTGTTTTGCTTTGTTGGACTGATCTGGAAGAATTATATTTTATATAACTATTGTACTATATGAAAATATGTATCACATAATATATTTGCATTTTGATTAGATATCAGGCCAAAAATACATAAACTAGGTATCTCTAGCCAAAGATGCTTAAAAGCACCCATATAATATTTATTGAATATTCAGTAAATATTTATTTATTTAAAATTTTTAATAAATATTCAAATATTAAAAAAAATTAAACAAATAAATATTCAAATACAATTTTTTTGACTAGATCAGACCTCTAGTTTTAGCAATATCACCTGTTCTTACTGTCCATAAGATCTTTCCCAATATTGCTAACAAAATTTTCACAGTTATATATTACCCTCAAAATTTTAAAGTTCATTTATGTTAGGATTAGGGCTTATATTAAGGTTAGATAAAAGTGGTTTTTATAATAAAATCACTCAAGAAAAACTTTTTGTTAAAATACGAAAGATGATTTCTTATGTAAATTTTTGAGAATAACCAATTTTTTTTAAAACAAACATTTGTTTTAAATTTTTATGATCATGTTATATTATATCAACCCACGATTTATTATTGGCAGACTTTTGTTGATCATCATGTGACTATGAAAATTTTATTAGTGAGTTGTTGGTAATACTGGGGTAGTTGTCTGTAAGAACTGTCTGTAGATCTTGTGACTCTACCCTAAAGTAAAATAATGTGACTGGTAGGTATCCGGATTAGCCCGATGAAGAAAAAAAGAAATGAGTGTCTAAACCTGTCTCAGAAACTAATAAAAATGTCTGGAAGACAATTTTACCTATAAGTCTTGCCATAACCTTAATTAAATAATCAAAACATATAAACGCACCCATCCTCTATCTTTGATTTTAGTTAGCGTTCCCACAAAAAATTGTTCATCCCCAGTAATTTTGACCAATTAAAATTTAAGATCAGGTGTCAAACAAATGTGTTTTATTTTCTAAGTAAAAAAGTTACGCGTAAAATGAAACCCAAGAAAACCATGTTATAATTAGGGTTAGGATTAGAACAATATAGTGCTTATTTGTAAAACATCACGAGAAACATTTTTAATTAGGCCGCAGAAGGTGGTTTCCTAATTAAAATCATTTTTTTTTTGTAATTCGATTGGTCAAAATTACAGGGGTGAAATCATATGACGGGCTAAATGGTATAGAATAAACACTACAAACATTTTATGCGAATGTTGCAAAGACCGTTATCTTATATAAAGAGACAATCGGGCTATATATGTTATATGTCATTTCTCAATTCATGCCAATTATTAATTGACGCATGTCATTTTTTACTTTGAAAATAGATATACGGTGTTTCAACAGATATTTGTATAAAGTTACAATTAATAAAGAAATAATTACGACATATTTAAACTTATGTGTATATTCAAATCTATGCATGTTTCACAATTATTCATGCCATATTTTCA